GAGAGAGAGAGAGATCGTTAAAGATTTCGAAAATATCTGTACTTTGTAGAAGTCCGAACATTCCGAAGCTTAAATCATAGAGGCATACGACTTTTTCGCGCGCCCGGCGCGCGCGCGCGCGCGCGAACAATGCGAGACCGTATAAATTTCTATAACATCAGCATATTGCTTTCCCGAACGATTTTATCGTGGAGACATTAAGCTATGACTCGGCGATTTCGACAATGCTATTGCGTTTGTGTGCAGTGGGCCGTAGACTGTATTCATCGTGTAGTATAATGATAATTCCGGGTTACGGCGTTGTGTCAAAGTCGCACTCCTTCGCGAGAATGAATCGAAAATGTCAGACGGACGTGCGACGGTCAGCGTACCGGATCGGCCGATCTCGCTAACTTGGTCGACATAACAATAGCATTAAGCCCCGCGAACACTTCGCGGTTTACGCCGATCTCCCGTCCTTCGACACGGTGAAAGTCCGCAAGAATTCGCCCTCGATCGTGTTGCGAACTTCACATTGAGATCCTCCTGACGTGTCACGATCTCGCTCGAAACCAGTAACGCCAAAGCAACGAGAACACCTCATGTCGCCCCGCGAAACGGCAACGCCGATCGTGCCGTTCGAACGTCACGAATTTTGAACCGAAATAAAAAAAAGGAAGCAATTTATAATTTGTAGTCGAACGGAACAGTCGATGAAATTCTCGGCGTTAACGTTGATCGCTCTCGCTAACAAGAAGGTGAGAGACCAGGAAGAAGTTGAAGAATCTTGACTATCTCAGCTTTTCGATATGAATTTAAAATCGTAAAAGTTATTAGCATATTCGATGACTCTTGTAGAAATCATAATGTCCTCTTCCTTCCTCAATCTCTTACCTTCTTGCTTCGCACGCAGATACGTATCTTCAATACCCATTTCTCTCGCGATGCGATAGTTCCGCGAACAGACGCAATGAACACTCGCGCTATCGGCTCTATTCTTTCTTTTTTTATGTAAAAAATTAATTGGATAAGATTCTCGCGGAGTGATTCGCTTTCTACTCGTTTTACAGTCCGCTCCCACGAAGGCACGAGCGACGTCGGCGATGGTAAGCGTCATCGGCCTCTCGAAGCACGTACTACACACATCGGGTCGCCGCGTTTAATGCCAATGTTTCCGCATTCTGGAATCTTATTTCTGAACGAGGAATATTCGCCGTCTAGCCGGTGTAGTGGCAAAAATGTGCTGCCGACTGTTCACGCCGTGTCAAATCCTCTCCGCGAAAAGCGCGCGAGCGCGCGCAAATACCGGCCGGACACCGCGCCGCGCCGCGCCGCCGTGTCAAGATTTTATAGTCTGCGACTCGACTACATATACTACTAGACAGTTCAGGATTCGTCGAGAGGATTGCAAAGTCGATTTTATCATGGATAGATTTTAATACGCAATCGCAACTTCCGCGATGTAAAACTTTATTTCTGCCCACGAAACGTCGAACCGGCTTTCTTAATGGCGAATATATCGACGTCGCTCGCGGTCGAATCGTTTACCATATATTAGGAAGTGATTTCATCTTTGTAGTTAAAAAGAGAACGTTCTCGAAATTCCAACCGATTTCTCATGCTTTCGATAAGAGGATTAAGCGAGATTGAGCAAGAGCACGAAGTGCTCTTCGGCATTTCTTCGGCATGAAATGTGGGTATTAATTCGTGGCGCCCTCGGGACGTTAAATGAATCTTTCGTGATATGACACTTCTCACTTCCGCGCGAGAGTGTCAGAAAGTTAAACGTGATAAATGGACGCCGTGCCCATGTCGGTACGATATAACGCGAATCGCCGCGGCTTATTTTAGGATCTTTTCACTATTCGCGCAATACCGCGACGATCCACGACGTATCGTGAAAAGATGGAAACGTAGAAAGGTGACGTAACGCGTGAATCAGAGAAACGCGATTATCAGATAAAATGTTGGGTTTCACAATTAACGAGAATCGTATCGGCCGACCCTTTATCGGAGTTCGACGTCCGTACGACACGTCGTTTAATATGGATTATCTAATATTTGCGCGGTCGTCGTTACGTCAGTCGCTCGAGCATTTCTCGGATAAGAATGATCGCTTACATATTCATGCGTGCAAAAAATCGCAAACACGGAATAGTTGCGGATGGAGCTCGGATTAATCTAAATGGCTTTTACGAGATAACGATCTGACAAATCACATGACGAAATGTAAGTAGGAGCGAGGTGGTAGATCCTACATTTGCAACTTGAGATAAACCTTTCAACGTTCGATGTATTAAGTTGCGCGTCGTTTTATCCGACTTAAATCGCGAAAAGGAGGATTACTTTTCGGAAATACGAGCGATAGACGACGCGACGAAACGCGCGTGATTGCTCTGGAAGATACATGACATTTCATAAAATATACGATGTATGTTATGATTTGCTCGTTCTAACATCTGTTTCTCTAACAAGAGAAAGCATCGATAAGTCGAGCATGAAGGACATTGTGCTTTATTTGGCACTTGAAAATCGATGATTTACGCGAACTTATTGCTGAACACGTTACTTCACGTTTACGACAATACATTAGCGTCATGAATACATTTAAACGACCCGAATGAGGCAGAAAGAGAGAGTGAGAGAGAGACTGCCATTATAGAGAAGATAAAAATAACAATTAATACTCGCGTTCCATACTTCCAGCGTACATTGATGCAAAGCGCGCGATTCGGATCTTTGGATCGCCAAGGACAGGTGGCTTTTAGTGTCGGTATTGATTTTACGACGCGTGTCCTTTCTTTCCCAAAATTGTATTCGACAAAGAAAGCCGACCCGCGCCGTCCGTCGCGCCGTTGCGACATACCCAATCTCGCATTCAGAAAATATATGCATAATGACGTAATTCACGGTTGCAATTTGTATGGAATAGCCACTATTATCGTACCTGTGTAGCAAACCGCGATACATATAATGCATAATAAGAATTATCTCAGTCATAATAAAATAGCGTGATTGTATCCTTGAGAATATTGTTCACTCATCCATACCACTTTGATGTCAAGAATTCTCGCAATTTTAAGGCTCCTGGGTAGTCACCGCAGCCATATTAGATTCGTGACGTCAGAAGCGAGAAATGACACGCCGAGAATTCTTGCGTGCCATTTCTAAATAAAATGATAATTTAACAAAGTAACACTCTAGATCGCTTTAAGACACCTGTAAAATTGTCCGAAAACTATGCTTTTTCCTTGACAGGTTATAAACAATCGTTAAATCAACCGTGAAGCGAAGCCTAATTATACGAGAAAACACACGGTTGACAGCTGTCTGTATGAGTAGAAAATACTCCTTCTACGTTGGGCTTTCCCTGCTAATCTTAGTTTTCGGATAATTTTACAGGTTTCATGAACACGTCACATATCACAGCACTAACATTTAACGAATATTAACGAAATGGCACGCAAGAATAAATTGGGTAGTCAACATGTCATTTTTTCACGTCTAATAGTTCATCGATTCTCCACCTAAGACGCTGCATGAGAATTTCTGTCATATGGACATGTCGGTAACAGTACTAAGCTATATATATTCTGTATTTATCGCGTTTATTTTTTTTGTAAACAAATTTTTGAATTATAAATTAGCATTTTGTATGTTATTCAGTAATTTACTTTTATCGTATCAATTGATTAGGTCAAACTGTTACACTATTTACTTATACAATAAATTGACTAGGTAAATTCGACTAGGTTTTTATTCCTACCACAATTATGTCGCCACTGTCAACGCGGAGTTCACGGCTACGGGACCAGGAGCCTTATAGCGTTTTCGAATAAACGGGGTTTGAACGATCTAGGGTTGATCAATCACTATTTTACTATAAATGCAAGTCTTTCATTGGTGGAGAGGTTGCAATGACGTCATTAACCAATCTTGGGTCGTTCAAATCCTGTATAATCGAAAACGCTATTAATGTCTCATAATGTATGAAAGAGATAAAAGAAAGGCATTCGAAAATTTACGACGCCAACGGTGAATATCATAAACTTTTTGCGAAACTCGCGTTGTATCTTGCATTACAACGACGAGCGGCACTTTGCTGTTGCGTTTATGCCGCGCGTTATATCATTCGTTAATTTACATGTCACGATTACTCATAATGAGAGAGTCATTTTATACAGCGGTTAATCTGATTTCACTGTATGAATCGATACATTTTGCGGTCTCTATCGGTGAATCATATCATCGCCCACAGAATTACCAAGCGACGTAACTCAGTGGCGTGACAAAAATCGTCTTAAAGCCGATTATATCGTGTAGCGGTACCAGCCTAGCATAGATCTTCCGGTTCGCGTCCTACGAGATTTCGCCCCGGCTAGCAAACCGTTTCGTTTCGTTGACACATTCCGTAAGATTAATTGACTCACGTAGGCTGTCCGGGCGACATCCACGAACTGGTGCACAAGATACAGATCTACGCATTCCAGAGAAACTGTCGCTCGTGTAGCTAATTCGTGACGAATATGCCCATCGCATCTACCCCACGATTGTCCCGATCAATTCAAAATAAGTCCGCAAATATCAAATATCGTGATATGAAAGGCGGCATGTGTGGCATTCGATTTGTTAGCAAAAAAAAAAAAAAAAATTAAAGAGGAAACGCAGGCAAGAATCGAGGATGAAGAACGAAATGTAGCGTGCAATTATAGCGTGTCAATTTTTCGTAAACGGTATAATGCCTACAAAGAAGATAATTCCGAGCTGCAAAGTTAAAAGCGTGCCCGCTTTGGCACACTGAATGCGAGCCTATCCCTTCTCTCGCGCACGAAAGCGCTTAGTGCCGGTACTAACCGCGGAAGCTGGCCTCGACAAGCAATGTCGCCCAGTCTTACGACAGCCTTCTTGCCGGTACGAGCGAGAACTTTTGCCGTTGTTTTCTGCTTCATCTCGGCGATACATCAACGTTCTTCTGAGAATCATTCCGTACCGGCTAAGCTCAGGCTCGCGCAAAACGCCCGCAATGAACTTTTTCCACGCGAAAGTTTGCCATAACCGCGAGTTGAGTTATGTACTTTTCGATGATTAAAATTAATTGCCTGCTCAGTTTAATGCTCGCAAAGTGGTTTTACGGTGGGACTAGTCCTCGTGAACGCGCCGTATACAATCAGGTACACTATCTCATAAGTCATACTATCTGTTTTTGATCAATTAATCTCAGCTTAATGCACCAATAAACGCGGAGCGCATATTAGCGCAGTCTCAATATTTCACACATTTATTTTCTCCTTTTATTAATGCTCAATAAATTTTGAAAATAATATATCGAAAAAATTGTAGATAAACTCGATATCGTTTACTGATTATGATGATAAAATGATAATTATAACTTCATCACGAGTTCACGATCAAATATTTGTTAGGCGCAGGTGAAAATACGGAACGACGCCCGACACTTGCGAGTATTTTTTACTTTATCACTTCGGGACGGCATAATCAGCAAGTTTTATTTCAAAAAATTATTAATATCTTAATTTACTCGAATTCAATTATTTGTACATTGTTATTTTTATTTGCATGATTTATTGAAAACTGCATATTGATTCTTTTGGTACTCGAACAAAAAGTAATCTGTGAGAATCTTGTAATCAATTTCAAGGAAATTTGGCATGGATAATAATTACATTTATGACAAAATACTCAAGCGTGTGTGTGAGGCGGCACATAGGACACGCATACTTGGACAAGCATTTACACACACGATGACACGCGGTGTCCCTGATACCGGTACAAATATGGTGCGATCGTCTGGACATACATATACGTGCGTCGAAAATCATTAGCCAGCGCGAAAGTTGCATCTGATGCACGTGCATACGTATCGGTGATTAGTTACATCGTGCCGCGCTATGCCGGGAATGTTAATCAGGAATTTAGCGCGGCGCGCTTTATTAACTGTGAATTAAAGTTAGTTAGAGTTTCGCGGTATCGCGCGACATACGTAAGCGGCCGGCAATGCGGCAGCGTATGCACCGATGATTTGCGGCGTATGAAGAATAATATATTTTAAGAATTTTACATATCGCATACGACATTAGCACTCATGCGTAGCAAAAAAATATAAAATAAAACTTTACATTTTGATATTCATCACGTTGCGCTTTGTCATGTCGTTAATAACGATTTCGTATAACCTGTTGGATTTAAATTCCGCTGCTTAGAATAGATAACGTATATGCAAATGTTTTATCAGTAGACACGCGTAGGCAGAATGTAGAAATCCTTGGAATCACGCAAAATCAACTAGCGCTTTCCAATGAAGCCAAAATTTGATTAAATTTTAATAAAAGAGATTAAAGGATATTTTTTCTCAGATTCATATTTTGCGGATAAAAATACGTAAAGCGAGAAAATTTCAAAAGATTCAATAAAGAAATTCAACTTCTTCAAATATGTCAAATTCACCGATAAACGTAAAAGATCGTGAAATTTTACACTTGATTCGTAAAACATAAAAGAAGGAGAAATTAAAGAGATGATATCATTTTTTTTTTGTGCAACAATACTCTACGGTATGTAATGTGTCGATATGCGTGATGAATCATTCGAATGGTTCGCTATTTAATCTACAAATATTTTTGTCGATGCACTTCCTTTCGGAAGGAATTCTTAGAGCATGACATAAACTGCGTGAAAGAACATTGCACGTGTAAAAAGAATTATACTATTATTGATGCATATTTAAGAATATCGAAAGTAAACCATAATTGATATTTTTGTTATATTAAAATATATGCCGAAGAAAATAATATTTGAAAAGAATATGGAAATAAAGAATAAAATATTGTCGATTCGAACTTTTTGTAAAAATTTACGCGATTTATTTTTTATCATAATTTACGAAAATAGCTATTCAAATTCCATCGACGCAAAGTCTTTCACCTTGAATGTATTACCTTATCAGAAAACGAAACAGACATTCTATATAAACGATAGCTCATCAAATGCGCAACAAAATCATACAACTTCGTAATATCTTATTCGGTTATTTTTAACAAAAATCGAACAGCCTTTTTTCATTTCAAGGAATTAATTTGTATTGTTTAAATCTATTTCTATCTAAATGTCTATTGTTAAGTATCAACTTGTATAGATATTAAAATATTTTATTGTTATTGTAAAAACTAAAACTCCAAGATTTGCACCCGATGTCGAACGTATTCGAAAATGTGTGTTACAGACACGGTAAATGGTAAGATGGAGAATTGCGGCGGCGGTCAGCGCCTGCCCCCGGACGGGGACGAATTTCCAGCAGCGTACCAAGAATTCAGCAACAGTAGCAGTCAGTCGCCGTACAGATACATGGCCGCGACAAGGACAGCGACGATAGCCACGAATGGCAGCGGATTGTGCAACGAGAACGAGGCGTTCCATGCCGGCGAAACTTTTAAAATGCTCGCGAACGACAGCAACGTTGTCGGTTCGAGGAGCATCATACTGTCCGATAACAAAATGACGCTGACGAGCAGTGAAAACGTGAGGCAGGATATAAACAAAGTCGCTTTGTCAAGTATGAATAATGTCCGGTCGGAGATAGACACAGCCACTTCGGCCGGTATAGATAACGTACGTCAGGACGTGAAGTCCTCCGAGGTTTCTAACGAGGAGAGAAAATCGTCTTATCAGACTTCGGACGATATTGCGAAGAAAAACGCTCTCATCGTCGCAGGAAGTTCTCTTTATCCGTGTCAAACGACCAACAGCAATCTAACGATGAGCGAGAAAAAGATGGAAATCGCCGGATATTATCACAAGGACGTGGCGACGATCGAGGAGGTACCAAGCCATGTGGAAAAGGACACACCTGTTGATATTCCGCCGCCTCTACCGCTGACAGGTACTTATTTAGCTTCGAATTAAATCTCTCGCTGTCCCCATTCTTCTTTTTTCGAACACGCGACGCTCTGACATCTCAGAGATATGTTATTAAATTTGATAGAAATTTATTTCAACAAAATTGTTTTATCTCGAAAAATATCTCAATTTGCGCCTTCACATTTTTAACACTCTTTACGCTCTTATACTTTTTTGCAAAAGTATATTATATTACTTAGGTCCACCCAAAATGGAACAAACAGTTTTGCACGCCAGAAACGTTTCGGCGACGGAATCGCCGCAGAGAAAGTTCTCCCTGAATGGCGATCTCTGGAGACAAGATGACAAATCCGAGCGGTCCGTCCGGGACAAAATCGCCATGTTCTCATCACAAAGTAACATCGACGCACCCTTATTCCCTAACGCGATGACAGCCGCGGCGGTTACGACGAGCAACGGTAAACGTCTCTCCAAGTACAAGTCGTCCGAAGACGTTTGCTGCGACGACAAAAGCATCGGGCAGAAAGACCGGCCGTCTTTCTTCGCCGACAGAACTCAGAGTTCCTTCGACCTCACCGATTCGTCACGGTCCTCGACAGGGCATGACTCGGCGAGAAAATATAGCCAGAGGGCGCCGAGCTTGCCTCAGAATGCTCAGTTGGCTCAACCAGTTCTATTGAGTCCGACTGCTCAGGCTACACGTGTTCCCAAGACACTACCGGTTATACCGCCGAAAACTACGTTGCTGTCCAGTCCTATGTCACCTTTGTACGACAAGCAGACTCTCTCAAATACGACGATGAAGAACTATTGCGTGAGCACTGCCGAAAATAGTAATCTACAAAACGCCGCGTATCCGAACAGCGGTAAAGCCGTCGGTTCTTCTAACAATCCCGTCAAGGCGACGAACATCTCATTGTTGACACGAGCTACGAGCTTCTCAGGTGCGACACCCTTTGTGCAAGATCGAAATTCTATGACACCCGATTCGATCAGCAATTCACAAATCTCGAGAACCAATTCCTTAGCGTCCACATTCAGGCGGCCCGGCGAAGATGCGAGGAGAAGTAGTTTGAATCAATTGATCGAGCAGAGGCGAAGATCAATATCGAAACTACGCGGACTAGTTATACCGGAAAAAGAGACTGTGCCGATCGATCAACCTATCGTCGATCTGCCGGAAATTAAATCACGAGATTCGATATTGTTGCATCAGGTAAGATGTTAACAAGACGTGTAATAAAATTCATATCGAATTTTTAATCCAATTTTTACACGAAGATTATAATTTTTGTATCTGATATCATTTTTGCGAAACTTATTATTTGTTTTATATTTGCAAAAAAATTTTATACCATTTTTTATTTCAAGAAGTCTGCTTTTACGAATGATATCAAACATTTTCCATTTTACACTTAGCATTTAAAATGCTAAGATAACACGCTGATATCAATAATACATGCCGGACGTATAATTTTTTCCAGATACCAAAGGCAAATATTCAAGACAAATGGGGGTCTCAAAGTTCTTTGGCAAGCAACACCAGCACGGCGAGCCAACCTTTGAAAGCGACAACGTCTTTCAAGATGCCGGCGCCGCAGATACACTCGAAATATTCCCCGGCCTTCAAGAGAAAGTCTCTCACGGTATACGGTACATCTGTGACAATGAACTCCTCGATAAACGGCGGCAGTCCGATCAAAAACTCTCAATCAAGTGCGACATCCGCGTTTTCGGAGCCACCGAAAAGCCTGGAGAGCATTTGCAGTCCGACGAGAAGCGATTACAGCTTCGAATTCGCGTCGACCACCAGCTCGCCGGACGGTTCGCGCACGAGACCGCGGACGTTCCAGAGGAAGGCGCGCTTAGATTACGACGATTCCGACAACGATTCGGCCGTGAGCAGTTCTCAGAGCAGCATATCCCGTGGCTTCAGTCCACCGATGTCTCCGGTGCCGTCGGAGAGATCCACCGTCTCGTCGGAGAGATCCTACGTCTCTACGGAATTGAACTACCAACGTCGACCCTTGATCGCGGACAGCTTGGTCAGAACCGCGATGACGCGCGACGCGCGAGATCAGATCGGTGGATCCGATAAAGATCAGTTCGGCTCCAGAATTCTTGGAGAGAGAATGTACGTGACCGAGAGATCGTCGTCTAGCAGCAGCAGCTCGAATCCACGCTCGCCGCAGCCAAACGAGTTTGGTCCGAGGAACTCGCAGATCCCGCAGAGACAGTTAAGACGTTCGAACAGCACCGACACGAACTGCAGCACATCCTCGACGCTCACGTCCGGATCTCAAGCTAGCGCCGAATCCTTATCCCGAAGAGTGTTGAAGCCACAAAGTGTGGAGGCGATAAATCGAAAGAATATCCTGGCGAGCGCGAGATGCCGAAGCGGCAGGGATCTAAACGGATCGCCTTTGATCCAGCGAAAATTCTCGGACGAGGAGGACGCCGCGCGAGCTATCGAGAACGGCGGTGTTATTCATCAAATGGCCAGTAATCCGGGAAATGACGTCGTGAATAAACAAGAGATCAAGATAGCTTATATAGAAGTCGCAGATCCCTTCGCGGAGGATGAGGAATCCTCACAAAAAAAGAATGAAGCGCCTAAGCTGCCGCCTAAAAGAAGCTTACCGCCCCCGGCTGTTAGACCGCCTAAATCCGAAATGCTGGAACCGTCGAACGATCTTAAAATGTGGGTTCGAGCGGAGGCGAAAACTCTCGCACGGTCCGCGGAGGAAAAATCGAGCAATAAATACGACAAGAGTCCGTCCGTCGTAGGTCAAAATTTGGAAGCGTCACCCACGATTCACGCGGCCAGAAACAATCGTGGCTTTACGTTCGACGAATCTGTTAGTACAACCGCTAATGGCAGTTTGTCCTCGAAGAGCAAGATCGCAGTAGGAGAAACAAAGGCCGCTGCGATGGAAACGTCGAAGCAACAAAGCAGAACAAGTTTAACTCCCAGAAAAAACACGGAAGACCAAAACGATCTCCTGACGATCCTAACGACGAAGAGCCGATCCAGATCAGCCATACACGTCGACGAAGGAACTTTCGGTCGATCGAAGAGCCAGATGAGCTTGGAGGATATCCTTGGCGCCAAAGCGGACTCGAAACTGCTCCGTACGCAGAGCATGGAACCAAAAATCGAGAAGAACGGCACGATAGCAACGGGTTTGCCGGTGAAATCTAGTTGGGATTCCAAGGAAAATCGATACGAGAGAAAAAGTTCCTCAAACAATTCCTGGTCGGAAGACCGATTTTTTGTTTCGAAAATACCTACCCTGGGAAAACCAAGAACTGTCGATAGCGGCGACGAAATATCAGAAACCGTCGAGAGAACGAAGATTTCTCCATCAAAAATTCCGACGTCTCGCGGCCTAAACCGACGCAGCGCCAGTGTCACAGATATGAAAAAAGTTTTGGAGAAGATCGATACGAGTCCTGTGCACAGTCAATTGCAGCAGAACACCAGCGGCACGCACAATCGATTTCCCAGTCTGGACAGCAGCGTGGACGAGAACATGGGGACGGAAACGGATACCGATAGATGCTACAGCGAACAATTCGGCAGCATCAGCTCATTGGCCAGCAGCACTAGTTTGATTTCGCAGCAGGAACTGGCGCAGCTCGTGGAAGAGGCGAGTTTAGAAGAAACGCGCGGCGCGCACGACGTTATAGTCGTTCTACTTCACAAGGAGAATCCGACCGGCAGCGTCGGCATCACGCTGGCTGGCGGCGCCGATTGCGAGGTGAAGGAGATCACGATTCACCGAGTGCTGACGCACTCCATCGCGGACAAGGACGGTCGGATGCAGCGTGGCGATAGGATTCTCAGTATAAACGGCCGAAGCACGCGAGGTCTCACGCACAGAGAGAGCATGGCGGTGCTGAAGCAGCCAAGGTCGGAGGTCGTGTTGGTCGTGTCGCGAGCCAGGACGGAGGAGGGCTGTAAGCTAAGATCGCGTACCGCGAGTGTCGAAACCATCGTTGAAGGTAAAAATATACGAATTTTTATTGCTCTTTGATGATAACAAAATCGGCATAGATTTAAAATAATTCAATTGCAGGGTTAGAGACGAATGGAACTGTAGAGGACACGGCGTGGGGACCACCGTCGACCGTGGCGGTCTACAAAGACGGAACCGGACTGGGATTTAGTCTGGAAGGCGGCAGGGATAGTCCTCTCGGGGACAGACCTCTGATTATCAAGAAGATATTCACCGGTAAATTTTACATTGATGTGATTCCGCGCATATTTGCAATCGCGATATCACAATAATAATCATAACAATTGTTACGAAAGATAAGATAATAGGAATTGCACAGTATTATATGTGTACTATCGTGATGGCAATTTCATTTTATCTCTTATTCCAGGAGGAGCTGCCGAAAAGACAGGTGCCTTAAAAGCCGGAGACCAATTGCTCGAAGTAAATGGAAACGACGTAACGCGAATGTCGCGGATAGAAGCGTGGTCTTTGATGAAGAAGCTACACGACGGTGAAGTAAATCTCCTAGTCAGGCATCCTGCCACCAAATCCTCGTGAAGAGTAAGGAATCCTGATCGTACGATGCAAGTGAAATGAAGAAATGTGCCAAGCAAGCGACTGTCATTTTTTGATCGGTAATTGTTAAATAGAGATAATGGTTAATAATATGTGTTAATTTGTGTTTCGAGAGATTTTAGATCAGAATTAATGATACGCGAAAAACTATTTTATTGGGCTTGTGAATTCGAATGAAGTTATCGCAGATTATAAGATATCGTTTTTTAGTTAAAATTAAAAATTATTAATAATTTATAAAAAAAAGTAATTTATGGTATTTTGAAAGTGATCTAAACGATTAAATAGTTATTATGTATCCGCTGTTTTCATAGTTACACAGTCATTTATTATAAATTCAATAGAATTAATTAACAAGAAGGAAGAAAAATATCTATGATTTGTTTTGCCTTTCAATGAGGTATCTTACAGACTTTTAGCAAATACAATCTTTAATATAAATAGCAGTAAAATAATATATCTTTTGAATATATGTAAATTTGTGATATAATGCAATGATGTTGATGCAACTATCTATTATCATAAAATCAGAATACAAAATGCAAGAAAAAAGGCACACATTTCCAAATTAAATTGACACCACAAAGTGCACTAGCACTCTCTCAAAGTATTCAATAATTAGATGTGAAATAGCAATTTACTATATTTGTTTTGTATGAATGCCTTCATTGAAAAGCAACAACAGCGTGTAATATAAGTACATTTTGACAACGAAATATATAAGAATTTCGATATGATGTATGCCATACGCAATGAATCATAATATTACTAGAGTGAAGTAGATAGGCATGTCAATTAATCATTTAGACCAATGTTAATACGTCGTTTTCGTACGACATTAATTTCATAGTGCCGGCCGTGCAGTAATAGTTCGAATTAAGAATTTGCGACGAGCAAATAGCTGAGTATATAGTTAAAATATGAGCCTGTAGATCGCCTGTTTCTAATCGATTTTATGATAGCCACCCAGTTGCCTTATTATAGTGGTTCCTGTTGATTTACTTTTAGGATACGAACACGGTAGAATACCTTCGTGTAAAACGATCACAAAACTGATATGCCGTTGTATCGAGAGCACGAGATACATGCTGTTTCAATTTTCTAATTGTTAAAGTTTTTGGCTCCTCGTTGCAATCGTAATAAATTATGGAGCGAGAGATCGCGTAAATATTTTCTTCGCGTTATACGTCAAAATAAATTAGTTTTTTTTGCGTTTCTTTACTTATGTTCGATAGTATTGACTGATAAGATATATCGACGATTTCCTTTTTCATAAATTAATAGATAGTTATATATCTCTTGATAAAAAAATTTTTATAAATTTTTATTTTCTGGAAATGTAGATTAAATTAATTTTTTTTTTTTTTGCTGGAATTTATATAAATTGAGTTATGTGTGCACATTGAAGCAGGATAAAAAAGTTTTTTTATATATTTGCTCAATCTATATTATTGATTGTGTGAATAACAATATACGAAAAAACTAATTTATTTCGATGTATGCTGCAAAAAAATTTACATCATTTCTTGCTTCTGATCCAAAATGGCTGCAGTGGACAACTTTCAATATATGTATTGTGGCGAAAAAATGGCTAATCGTTATTGAAATTTGTAACTGACAATGAGTCGCACGAATTCTTTGCGCTTTTTCAGTAGTTCATTAAAAAGCGACGAAAAAAAATATGTTTCGATAAAATTTCGACGAAGCCGTATACTAATAGCGGTATAATGTAATTACACGGCCGTGTATATGATGTACGCCGTGTATGTGTATATGTACGTCATGTACGTGATAGAATATTACTTTGTTGCGACGTTTTTATGTCGAAATTGTCTCGAATGAGACGGGCGCAATATATTTTTGCGCTTCCATAGATGTAATAAGGATATAACAGGATGGAATATAAAGCACTTACCTTTCAGACGAGGATTTTGAGATCCCGAGGCGAAGGGGAAGAAGAAATCGGCGATCGTATTAGAAGCGGTTCGTTGTGATCCGATATCCCTTTTCGTCTCGCACTTGCCTCTCGCACACTGTTCTCCCTTCTGTTGTGCCTTTATGAAGAATGTAGCAGGACAAAATACATCGTATATGTTTCGATGAAAAATTCGAAGCTTGAAATACGCGAAATGGAAACGAAATAGCACTCGCGCAAATACGCGTTTATTCGCGACAATCACTTTTTTCAAATGGCCGTTAGCCGCCGCAGCGATTGGTGCGCATGCTTCAGCATAAACTATGTATTAATAGAGTACATTGTACCTAGAGACTCTACAAATGAGTAAGTTGTAAGGTCTCTAATTGCACGCATTTGAATGCAAATTCGATATGAATCCACCTATGTAACTTAAGATTTAAATTCAAATATTTAGAATGACCATTAATTATTTTATTGCTTCTCAAGTTTCAGCTTTTGAAATAATATTACGTCTTGTTATATTTTTCTGTCTATGGTCCTAAACTTTCTCCAACAATATTGAAATGTGAACTGATATTTGATTAATTTAATCCTGATTGGAATTATAAGCCACGCAGAGCTAAAGGAAAGTGTCATATATAACAGATATTATATTAATATAAAGCTATATATTGTATTGGAATATTTAAATGTAATATGAATCGCGTTTCGGGATTTGCATTTATTAAAATTCGTGCTGTGATATGTGTGATTGACATGATATAGCGTAAAACAAACAGCTGTTGATTGAAACATTAATCAATATTATTACATATTTTAATCCAATGTAAATTCGTTATAAAGTGTTGAATTATTCGCTTTTTATTGTTTAATGTTATAAATGCTTTTTTATTGCATACTTTCTATATGTAAATCATTGCAAACAAAGACGCCTTATAATATAGATTTTGTTAAAAATATAAAAATTTTCCTATATCATAAAAAAAAAGTTAAAATTCGGTTTATTATAATTAAGATAAATAATAACTTTATTTTGCATGTTATTCTATGAGGAAACTTTTTCATTCAAAAGGATTATAAAGTAAAAATTATCTTGTACATTCGTATTACATAAAAAAATGACTATGTTCCGATTTCTTTGTTTGCTTAATATATTTATTAAATACTATAGTTGTACATTAAAAACTTTAACAGCGAATTGTATATAACAATAGTTAATACCAATAATATTTCTTTGGAATACGATCTTCTTCAATACCCATTTCATCCATGATATCCATCTCAAAAGTTTTTAACGCTGGCTATAAGTAAAAATAATACATTTATTTTAAACTTTTATATATAAAATTTGTTTATGTAAATTTTTTTATAATTTGGGATATCTTGTATGTTACATACCATAAAAGTTACTTTGTGTACATTAGCTTCAGTCGTATCTTTTACTTGCTCTCTGTACAACTTAGGAGTTTTGTAATCTATAGTTTCTTCAGCAGAGATAGGAATAGGAATTACTCTACCGGTTCTTACAGATATGCGTACACGCTCGCCATCTTCCCTATATCGCCATTCTATTGCAGTTCCTTGCCTGCAAGGATTTATATTATGCCATATAAAACACTAATGTTTCTTTCATATTTCCATAAAACAAGTTTTTTTATTAAGCATACGAACATGTCTGAAGGATCAACCAATTGCACTTGTGAAGTTATTAATAATGGTTGTTCCTGCTGTATATATAAACCAGGAAAGTTTTTGTCTTTCATAACGCGTTTCAGTTTCGTGTTAAGTCCTTCAACAATTATCCAGTTCCTCTCTTGATAAATTTCTTTTACAATTCCTTGCTTTCCTTTATCTTTTCCAACTAAAACTTCTACCTTTATAATTATAAAAGAATAAGAATTTGATTACATATATATCACACATGCGTGTACGTGTGCATAATACAATATTATAACTTTTTAAATATACTAAAGTATAATATAATTATTTAACAAGTTCTATAAATAAATTGACATACCCTGTCACCCCGAAAAAAGCTCCAGTCCTTAACAGGTTCAACATGAATAAATAAGGGCTTTGTACCAGGTGCATTATCTTTATAAAAATTATTTGTCCACGGACGATGTATCGAAAAATGAAATCGTTTTCTTTCAATTGTGCGTGGCAAATAATTCGGTTTACCTCGAGGTGTCTTCCAATAAACCTAATTGATTTCATCAATAAATAATAGGTGTTAAAAATTGATTGATAAGGAGGAAGATAAAGAACAGTTAGCAAACTACTATTAAATATTATAAAGCAAAACATGATACATTTTTAAAATAATTTGATCATTTGTGCATACCTGTGTCATAGCACGTTCTATGTACCTATCTGGTAAATTTGCATATTTCTTTGACCATTCTCCTACTCGTCTTAATAGGATCGATGTTAATCTCATATCTGTTCCTTCTAATCCTGTCAAAATTATCTTTTTACTTGAATATAAATATTGATAGAGTTTTGCACTATTCTTAAAATTGTGTAAAATCTTCTATAAACCGGGTTATGTTGATATACACGTCATAGAATAAATGTAACTATGACGTGCAACAAGTATTTTGTGAAATGTACGGCGTACGGCAGACTTTGTTGAAAACGTTGTTAAAACGAACAGACTTACAGCGCTAACTATAAAAATTGAAGAATAATTGCTAAATAATAAGTTTTGTAAAAAATTGTGCAACGTATATACATATGTATGTAAGCAACAGTAATGCACCATAAAGAATTAAGTAGTTTTTTGCAGATATTGTAGTCATGATAGATTTAATGACACGAAAAATAGGTTAGAAAAGCAGTTTGTGCTCTCTCTGACTTGTAGAAAACTTTGCATCATCTTATGCAAGTTACAATGTTAGTCCGGGCAATCAAAAACAGTGTGCCGTGTAATCTACGACGAATCGCCGCATGTACTGCTTATAGAAACAAAACGAAGACGAAGTTCGCATGTTATTGCAAAGAATCAGATCTATTGTCCACTTCCTTTCCGAATTATGCTGGCTGTAGAATTTACAGTACCGAACCGGATTCTGAATCGCATAGTACTTTACCTATGCTTGTGGATGGAGCTCCTCAATATCTACCATCTCTTCTGGCCCCATTAAAACTTTTCTATTTATCAGTCTACAGGATTACTCCACACATAGATAAAGAATTTGATGTAGTTGAATTTCTTAAAGGAGCCAGATATGTATGACTTTTTGTAACTGATTAAAAATCTGCAAAAGTATTGTTTACTTATCAATAACTACATTATTTTATTTATACAGGCGACAACGGTGATATCTAATGCTTTAACAAATAAAAACTATGAAGCCTTGAAAGGTCTTGTGACAGAAGAAATGATAGAAACATTGAAAACGAAGATTGAGACTCTTAGTCCTAATCAAAGACAGTTAATTGCAGTAAATGATGATGATATATTGTTTTATGCTTTATCTGATATTGCCGCTACAATAGGTAAAGATAGTAATAGCTGTTTTAATATTAAATTAATACTAGTGTTGAAAAATATATTAAATGTATATTTTTTCCTTACAGGAGACGAGCATTCCATTATAATTACAACAACTTGTCATTATGTTCAAGGTCTTGGCAAGAAAAAAGAGTCAATACTGAATAACAAATTCGTTGAATTTACTTTATCAAAAACAAATTTAGTATGTAATTATATATTCACTCGCAAGTATGTAAATAATGTTGGAGGTCCATGGATCTCAACTTTTGTAAATCATTACACTATATAGTAGACAAGTTTGTAAAATAGTTTTTAATAAAAAGGTATGTTAAATTTGTTGATCTATTTTATGATTGCTATTGGAAAATGATAAGTGTTAATATCTATATTATCTTATATATTTCAATGAAAAGTTAATACAAAATATGAGATTATTTATACAATATACAATATAATCACGCATCTCATTCAATAACATTTGTACATGTGTAATGTTTTAGTTATTGATACTTTCCAATATTAGTGGAATATAATTTTTAATATGCAACAATGTTGCACCAATAGGAGTGTCATTTTTGGAAATAGATATAACCAAAGGTCCCTGTAATATAAAATATTTAAAAATGTTAATATTAACGTATTTGTCTTGCACACAGAAATCAAAAGTATATGTAATACCTGACAGATTTGTGGATTATGTATCCAACATTCTTGTTTAAGACTTGTAGTTTGAAACAGATTATTCCGTTTTGTAGGCACAGAGTTAAAAAAATGTGCTTCCATGCTTTCTAAGTTGCGCATTGAAATCTTGATTATGTTTAAATAAGGTTCCATAAATAATGAAATTGTAGCTTTAGCAGAAATACCAGCTTGCTTGAAGCTTATTTCAAAAGATTTAGTTGAGAAGGCTATCAACTTATTGAAATGATTCAGCGCAGGTGATGGATCTTCTGCAAATATAATACATAATATGTAATATATTAAGCAAAAAAATTTAAGTGTATATTGTAAGAATTGATGCAGAATTTTTGTCTGTATAATTACTTTTGTAAATTGCATCCGTCAGGTAAAAAGGTTTGGTAATAGTTAAAGCAAACATTGGGATTTGATTACGCTCTGTTCCTTTTAATAATGTATCTATTGCTGTAAGCAAAAATTAACATTAACAAGATTATTATTAGGAAATATATATCTTATGTATAAATTCGTTAAACTTACATTTTCCTACTTCTTCAAATACTTTTGTAACTGGGATATTTTTATTAATATATTTGCTTAAATGTATTGCATATAATCCATATTTGCTGTTTGTTCTTTCATAACTAGGACGGTGACTAGATGTAGAATATGCTTGCACTAAATTTCGTAGATTTTTCCTACTTTTGTATTCTTTGACTTTTGGTATTTCATTATGAATATCAGGATTACGTTCTCTGAAGCACAATATTTTTAAAAAAATATATTTTAATTATATTCAATTATTAATTTATTTTAGTCTAAATTCTTTAACATATATAAAAGTAAATTCAATAATATAAAAAATTGGGAATTCTTACTTTGGTGGTACAGTTTGACACATGTCCAATATTGTTACTAAAAGAGCAGGATCATTTTGCAGCAACATGGCTAGCAATTCGCTCTCACAGATTGCATCTTTTCTTAAATAAGATTCTGGTGCATCAACAGCAAGCATGTAACTTTCTTGCATTTTAAAACCATGCCCAGCATAGTGGAATAAACCTACATTATAAATTTTTATAAGTGCACTATATTTTTACATAATATATCTATAATAACTTACCATAAACTCCTTCTGTTAAAACTTCACTAAATATTTTCATGGTATTTCTCATCTGTTCAAGTGACAAGTTTGCAAGACAGATTACTTTGAAACCTATTTCTTTTAATAGATTACCAATTTTTGCAGCATCATTTTTTGGCGTCTCTAGGCATTTGTGATTTTCGTAATCATCATTTGCAATAATTAAAGCTATTTTTGCAACTGCCTTTTCACGAGGAAGGTCCATCTATATATTAATATATAAATATGCTCTATTATCATACAATATTTCTAATAAGAATAATTGAATTTAAATTTTACTTAAAATTGTTACAAAATTTACACACATCACAATTATTATATTATAAAAATAATTGTACAATATATGATCTTTACCATTACATGACTTCTTTGAGTAATAACTTCATTCACATTATTATTTATGTAACAATGATATTTTCCCTCATACTTGGAACTAAAATGTTTTATCTAAAACATTATTTTTTATTATTAAGATAAGATTCAAATATTAATATATATATTACACGTAAACAACGTTACACTCTCTTACATGTAATATATTAGATGTTTCTCCTTCTAGCCTTGTATTATCTCTAAACCACTGATAACATGGTTTAGGATAACCATGAGCTATGCATTTAAGTGTAAACTCGTCACCTTCTTTAATCTCTAAGAAAGCAGGTGGTTGCTGCAGTATAATTACAGGCACATGAGATATGTTTACAAAAACTGATTTTGTTTGCAATGGAAAAATTACTTCTTCTCCATCATTAGTGATTTGTGAGATTTTGCACTTATATTCTCCAGCTTGATCACAACTATAAAAAATTGTATACAATACTCAAATAATGTTTTCAGAAATTATTTAGATAAAATTTTTACCTATTTATAGTGATGTCAAGTTCATGACTTTGCTGTTCCTGCAGCTCAATATTATTATGATACCATTGATAAGTTGGTGGTGGTATGCCAGTAGCTTTGCAAGAAAGACGAAGATGCTGGCCAAGAGATATTTCTAAGGTATCATTTTCTATGCCATCAGATGGATGTTTGACAATTATTGATGGTTCTAATTTTATTAAAAATTATATCATTAATGAGAAATTATGAGTTTTTGAATGTTTTGAGTATAGATATTTTTTCATAAATACAAAAATACATTGTAATTACCTGGATGATGTAAAACTGATAAAACATTACCAAGTTCACACTCTCTAAGCAATGTACATAATACTCTAACTGTACACATTTTTACATTTAGTTCAAACAATAGATTATCTGCTGGTGTTTTAGTAGTACTCATATTCTGTTCTAATGATCGTAGCCATGAGTTCCTGTGCACAAACAGATGTATAAAGAATCATTAAGAGCAGATATTTGATTTTTACACAAATCAACTAATTTTTTTTCTTTTTACCGTTGATCTTCTAGTTGTTCAGCTACATGACATGCTAGCACTTGCCAATTCGAATTCTTATTTAATTCACAAATCAATTCTTTATATATTGCTGGTGAAACTTCGTCCAAATATAAATTTTCATCAATTTTTGCCATTCTTACTTTAAGTATAGCTCCTTTTTATTTTTGCACTATTAAAGAATAAATTCTACCCAGTTACAAACACGATTTTCCTGAAGCTGTCAGATGGGTATACTACTTGTTGTGACACTTCCTTGAGGAAGAGGAAAATATTAAGCAAAAATACCATGACATATTTTTAAGAAATTACATTTATTTTAAGCCTTATTTTAGAGATTCATTTGACAATAATACATAAATGTTTCATTAAAAAACTACAAACTCTACAAATTAAATAAAATTTAATATATATTTAAATAGATATTATATTTTTTGTATGATGCAAAAAAAGAATTATGTGCACACATATATATAGAAATGATCACACTTGCAAATATAAGACAAACAATGGGTACGTTCACAACGCAATAGTTGTGCAATCTCCGTGATACCGTACGTGATTGGATATTTGATTAATCATTCTACCAATCGTTCATTAAAACATGCTTGTTAGAAACGCTCCATTCGTTTCGTTATCCGCGGGGTGATGGCCGGAGCACAGACTTTTGCATAAAGCATAACGCATAAGCATAAGGAAATTGATTGGTCCATTT